CATGGATTATTGAGAGCATGTTTGCAATTGTTTTTGATTACGGTGTCTTTTTACTGCCACATGCATCCGGCAAAAGTTTGTGCCGTTTGAAGATCCAGGTGCAACTAAAACATAGAAACATGATCTTCCAACATGTCTGAGATGCGAACAAAGCTCGCTTTTTATCTGGAAAAGAAGACTCGGAATCATCCTTTTGGCTCAGAAGGGGACACCTCCTTCAGGCCTCGAAGCCGCGCCGAGCGGGAGTTCTTCGGCTGGGAGGAGCGTGAGGTCATGTGGGAGCACCTTGGAGCGGGGAAGGGACGTGAAGAGGTGATGACAGTGAAACAGTTTTGTGTTTTTTCTCGCGAGTTTCATTTGCGTTTCAGGGGTTTTCTTCGGGTCTTTCTTGGAAGAGATTTGATGCTTAGGGATTTCAACATGGTTTCCATGAGCCATGCTTCTGTCCTTTACTTCTTATGATGTTTTAAAGTCTTCATGACTGCTGGGAATTGGGGACAGCCATTGATGAGCTATTTGCTGCCTCTGAGGTTTTTGAAAGAAGAGTATGATGACTGGGATGACTCCGATTCTGTCGATGATTACTTTGAGTACACCATGGATGATGCTTCCGCGTGCAAGTCGGACATGGTGGTGGGGGGACTGCCATGACATGAGTCACGAGTCGTGGGAGGTGTTTCAGTTTCAGGTAGAGTAGCAGTCTGTCCGAAGGAAGGGGATCTGCCAAATTCCACAATGCTTTCAATAATGCTTTCATGTCATTTCATGTCCAGTTTCAAGAGCAGGTGCGGAAGTTGGAGCAAATGTCAACCGCATACTGTACATCATTCCTTCAGTGCACCTTTGTGTCCCGTTCTATGTATTAATATCTGAATAGATGAATTCGAGATGCAAACCTTTGCTCAATTGTTCTCATTCGACATCGGCACCAGAACTCACATTCAGATCAAGACTGCTTCCATGTTCTATGGTTTCTGGATTTGTGCCTCTTTGAGGCAAGCCTCAAGCCATCCAACTACTGGAGATATCTGGAGATGCATTCTTTTTCAGAAAGCAATTGGTGGTTGGTACGTGATTTGCTGTGTCAGATGCCAAATTTTTTGCATGGTGATACACCACTCCACAGGACGAACACAGGGAATTACGAGTGCTTTGACCCGATGGTTCGTTGCTTTGAACAGAGGGGTGACGCACCATTAACGTGTGAATCATTAGTTTTTCTCCTGAGGACGAACCCTGGGAGTCAGTGCCATGGGATTTCGATGATTACTTTGATGAGAGTGAGCCTGAACTGCAGAGCAAGATGGTTGCCCGATGAGCCCTTTGGGTCGCCCATCTGAAGATTTTCTATTTGGTAGTGGGGCCCAAGAGCCTCAGACTGGATAGCTTGGAGAAGCTCCAAAACTGGGCCAAAAAGGGCTCGCATGTTCACTTGAAACCCCGAAGCCGAACCTCACTGAAAAGGCTGACCGGCTGACCCTTGATGCTTTGGGGCGTCCCAGGTGTTCATCCACCTTCCCCGTCGGCCGCTCCGGAAGACGCCATCGCCGGACCGGGATCGGCGCCTGTAAACCGCGGCAGCCCGAGCTGAGGAGGAGGGGCAGTATCGATCACAAGGGCTGCTTGGTTGACTGGGGCAACGTTGGATGAGTTTGATGCGAGAAGAATCGGAATAAGACACAACAAACGATGATGGTCCAACGGATCCTTGGGGAACAAGGGGCGAACTACACGGTACACGCGCCATAGATGGTCGTGGTGCTTTTTGCTATTTTACATGATTGGCCGTAAGAATTATTCGCACGGCCACTGGTGAGAAATTGGAAGGTCTGAAGTGCATATTTTTGGAACACGGCGGGAAGCAGCAAGAAGTGTTCAGAACACCTTAGAATTACGGTGCAACACTGCCACTTAACAGCCCCATAAGCTAACGAGACTTTGGCAATTTTTTCACGTCTTGAGGAGTCGCCCAAGTTCATCCAACAAATCAGTCGGCGTTTTGTCGAACATTTGCTGACGCCACATCCACTGACACAATCTGACACATATACAAATGGTGCTATGCTCTGTCGTTGCAAACAAGTTAAAGTGTCCCAACTTCGACACCAAAGTTCAAGCAAGGCAACACGGGTATCCAACACCTGTTCCCAGTTGTCCCAACAACGATCAGAGTCCAAGACTGTGCTATGAACGAATCTCACCAAGGGGTCATTGCAATGCCAAGTCAAACCGTCCGTATATTGATCTAAAGTAAACACGTTCACCCGCCACAATGGTCGTAAACAAGAAAACCCCGAAGGACAAGACCCACCGAACCAACCGAAACCACACTAAGACACCAACGGCCTGCATCGGACAGAAACGGTGTCAGCAACAAACGAACCGTGCGAGCCCCCAATACCGTGAGAGGTTCGTGCATGATGGTCAACAAAACATCGAACAAACCCTGTCCATTCCACGCTACATCAACAGAAACATATCAGATCCCCTCCCCCCATGTGTATGTCATCACAAACAACAAACATGCACAAAACGCCACGGCCATGTGCTCCAACTACACTGCCCTTAGATCCGCTCAGCATGCTCAGCGCTGGAAGCTTCACACCAAGAGAAGATGGTTCTTCACTCCACTCCACGCAGCCCACTTTCTCTCAGGCCCAATAAGGACTACTACTATAGTCCTCCTCCTGGTGCTGATCCCTGGTCGCGAAATGGCTTCACCTACTCCACGGCGAGGGGTTGGCGAGGGTCGGGCAGGGAGATGCAGGGGGGGTAGGTATGTCACATGAACGGTTAGATGGGGGATGATAGGGGGTCTGATCCATCCTGTGAGAATTCCAAACAAACGTTTGCAGTTGACCTTCTTGAACATAATATTGAAGCTGCACCACTCAAATCACATCTTTTGAGCCTCTACCATTCGACGATATTCGACGGCTTTGGGCTGTTTCATAGAAGGAACGCATTACTACGCTGGTTCCACCTTTCATTTGAATTTCATTGCTGCAAGCAACTCAAGTGTGGCCTTCCCAAAGCGCGCCCACCGAGCGACGTTCGGCGCCGAAGACTCTTCAGCCAGTCTGGTGCTTCCACTTGGCCAAAGCGGCCCAGCGTGACGCCTGAGGACCGGGACGGTGCTGACAGGACATCTACCAATAAAGCGAATGCAATATGGTTCAGATATTGCGCTTTGTTCTCATGTAAATCCGAACAGCCAGGTGATAGATGTACATTTTGTTGGAGTATGTTGGAGTCACCTTCCCTGGTACCACTGGGCCACAGAGGTGAAACATGAGTGTTTTTTCGACTTGGTGAAGTGACTTCCACAGAAACGCCAAGTAATCTCATCCAAGGTCGAGGTCGTGTTTGGGGCATTGTAATGACTTGTATGCCTACTTGTGGGCCAAGTAGAATGGAAGTGAAGGGAGCACCTGGCGAGTAAGGACTAGAACATACTAGAACAGGCTGCTTGCTCCAGGCCGGGCCCAGCAGCTGGGCAAGGTCACCAGCCGCGAAGCCTGACGTGTTCGGGGCAGCTGCTCGACTCAAGCGATCAGGAGACGATGACTCAAGCGATCCGGGAAGGATGGAAAGCAGAGTCCCTGTCGCAGATGCAGGCCAGAAGGGATCGCAGGGAACCTGATTCTCATTCTCTGAAGGGAGCAATTAATCGTGTAGTAGGGAGCAGGATGGATTTATTGGTATTGCTCGATATGTTGGGTAACGTTTGCTGCTACATACGGATTGCTAGTTGCCACAAATCCAAAATGCCCAACGTGCATCGGTCCTTATTGTTTGAATAGATGCCGCCATGCATCATGCGGTTCGGGGTTCATCAATCACCTGGAAACTTGCAAAAGCTTTGCTCGGCTCTGCGAACAGCCAGGCATGCATGCTGTTGGGCCTCAGCGGTCAGCCTTCGCGCGATGAGTTGTCGAAGGTTCGGAGGCAGATGGCACTCAAGTGGCATCCAGCCCCTTGGCAGGTTGGTACCTCTTTGGTTCATGTGTGGCACTCTTTCTACTGCTTGAGGTCCCTGAAGAGAAACAGACATAGTGTCTAAGAGATTGAATTTCCCACACCGACTTCTGTTTGAGTCGCCGCCATCCGTTTTTGAACGTGTAAGATCATGTTGGGTCCATCTCTGAGTCCTCCCAGTAGGACTCCGCGCACCTGATGGGACGACCGCCCGCGTGATGGTGCGACATGTACCGCACGATGTGCCGAGGACAAAAACCCGGAGAACGCCCATGCGTCCGTGGCCTTTCAACTGGTCATGGCCGCTGCCGGCAAGCTCCAGGCGTAGATGGAGGCCATGGGAGTAGACATCTGACGTTCGTTCCCGTACTTCCAAAGGGGTTCCCGAAAGAAGACCAAGGATCATTTGGTTTGGCAGCTTGGGCAGGTTGTTTCTCAAATCGGCATTTGGTTCCATTGGCAAGAGGGTGAGACACACATTCTTGGAAGATATGCAACACGCTCAGCTGGTTGGCATGAAAATGGTTACCTGTTCCACCCTGTTCCTGTTGAACAGACCTATGATCCTGGAACCAGGGCCTCAGGGTCCATTGCGAACATCCGCGAACCAGCCGCTGGTGCTGAGCTCCAAACGGCGGGGCGTTTTTCTCTGCGCGTGCTCCCAAAATCGGTGTTCTCTGCGAGCGCAGCGGCGTGGGAGGGCGGGGCACTGCTGCATGCTACCCTCACATCTCTTGGTGTTGATGAGTCTTCTTGCTTTAAGGTCCAAGGATTCACATCTCTTTTTGGTTCTTTCTCATAAGGATGCACTCCTGGCCCGGAAGTTCGGTGCAGTGGTCAAGGAAATGTTTTCGATTCTATTATAGGTTGAAGTTGAATCGGTTCTCCTTTTCACTCATTAAATCGGATGAAGGTTGGGTGAAGGAGGCGCCTTTGTTGAGCAAGCACATTCTGCCGCACCTTTGCACGAGTTGGGCCAAGCGATTCATTGAACCACCCCCCCTGCGAAGTAAACGCCTGAGGTGCCAAGTGCATGGAAGGCTCCCCAGTGCGGGGTCCCAGCGCAGATGAGACCCGGAGACCGGGACGTTCCGTTTCGTTTGAGGTCCGGCCCCAAAACACCGAAAGCAAACCCTGAGGGAGACCGGGTACATTGCCTATGTTGCAGCATGGATCTTTCGACAGACGTCACATTCCAACGATGTTGGGCCAGTTGGGCACCCATGGATTTAAGGCTGTGGGAGCCAGTCATTTGGCGCGAACTGGATGAGGCAGAGGCCGGCTGCGACCGCGACCGGGAGAGAGGTGAGAGTCTGGTGAGGTGTATTTGTAGATGTTCCATGGCGTGAATCAGGCACCTGGAGATTCGAAAGGTGTTTTTTTTTCCTGCGGACACATCACACATCGATGGGTGTCCCCATGCATCCCAATGCCAAGTTTGTATGCAGGCTCGTCACCCCTGAAGAGATGGCCTCCAACCTTTACTAGCGATGGCCTACAACCGATTCAGAACTAATCATGTTTTTGGCGAAGGCTGTGTTGGTGACCTGGACCCAGCACACGACCGCCCCGCGACGAGCAGCGCCAGGAAACCTCCAACTCGCCAGACTCGGTGAAGCCGCCACTTGGAGATCTCGTTCTTACGGGAACCCGGTCGGAACGACATGGCAACGTTCAGTCGAACTGGGTGGAAGAACTGAAGGTATGTTCTCCCTGGGTGAAGGATGGAAACAAGGATCCAACAAGATCCAACAAGGATCCAATAGGATGCCCCATTTTTGGGGGGGAGTTAACGGCGGAGTCCGCGGTCCATGGTGCTTTTCTTTTGACCCACGCGTTCGAACCGACATACGAACAGACACGAAATCTTCCCAAACATGGGCAGGGCGTTCTGTGGGCACGAAAACAGGCGAAGACATGCGAACACAGAAGCATTTCAGAGCGTTCAACGGTGGATTGCCAGCTTGAATGGCACAGGAGGTTCTCCCGCGGATCCAAGCGAAGGAACATCGAAATTGAAAAGAGATCAGCCGCGTGTGGCATTTTAGGAGCAAGGACGCTACTAGGGGCTCCTGGCCTTACTCCTAGGAACAACCAGCGCCCAAGGCTGGCGCAGAGAACCGCTGCGGCCGCGCACTCGGAGCATGGAGATGCGCTTGGCAGTGGAGACCCTCACAGCTCCCTCACTACAGTAGTTGAAAAATGGTTTCTCTTTTGTTGATGATCGTTTTCTCAATATCTTGAGGCATCAGCCGTTAACATATTGTTACTCTTATCATCACTGATTTTTTTGGCATTCATATAAAACACGTACCGTACAAGTAGTGGGGGACGGGAATCTGAGCAAGAATTGATATGCAGGCAGGAGGAAGGCTATAGTTTTCCTTGACTACCACGATGTTCATTCACTGATTCACGTTGCATTTCATTTCCAGCCGTTTGATTTCGCAGCACCATCAGCTTGAGAAAGGATCTCGAGCTGTCATGCGACCAATACATATTGCCGTGCAGTGCATTAGTGCATTTCACCACAAATTTGCATCAGAGCAACGCACTGGACATTGTTTTTGCATTCTTTTCCTGCACTTTTCTTCAGTTGGAAAGCCTGCTATGCTGCTGGAATGTGCCTTCGCCGTTGCAGCGACAGCCGCAGGTCCTGGAGCAGCGGCGTCGGCCGGAGGGGCGGTCGCCACAGCAGCGGCATCGACAGCAGCTGCATCCACAGCAGCTGCCACATCGACAACGCTGGCGTCCGCGGCTTCCACCGTTGTGGCGGCAGTGACGGCAGCCACAGGCTGCAACTTGCCGGGTTTGGCCGTTGCTGGTTGGTGCTGCTGGCAGACCGGGGGCACATTTGCCGCCTTTCTTGTGGAGCTCTTCGCGCCGGAAGACCCGCCACAGGCACGGTCATGATGATCACTGACCAGTCCAACACTGCTGAATCGGCCAGGATGCCGTGCTGGCCATGGCGGTCCTCTCCCTCCCAACGCCCTGCAGACAAAGAAGGATCGAGTGAAGGCCCGGTGAGTGAAGGAATGTAGAATTGTTGCATGTCAATGTGATTTGGTGACTTTGCATGAAATGACATGAGACATCCATAACATCCTCACACGTGTTTTTTTTTGCGAGCCATGGCCAGCCACCAGGCTTCAGCCGACGAGCTGCGTGCATCTCGATGGACCTTGGGGCAGGCGGGTCTCCATGTTTCTCAGGACGTAACTCTGAGCACTGACCACCTTTTTCCGTATTGGGCCTCTGAGTACTGAGCTCCAGCGGATTCTGCTGGGAAACCCAACTGCAAGCATTCTCCAACATTTCCTGGAGAGCCGGGCCACAGGGTTTCAGCTTTCCGAAGGGTCAGGAAATGGTGGCAAGCGAAGCTTGGCTGAGGTGGGTGTGATCACCAAAATGACATGGAAAGATAGAAAAGACAGATTGGGAAACTTCGCTTGAGATGGCGTGTTTCGGGGTTTCGAGACAAGACACTTGTGCCACTTGGTGATCACTGTGGGTGATCACTGGTGCATCGCCAGTCTACTGTATTTTTGTTGCCCCAGTTTAGCAGAGCTGAGTTGGGTGGTGGACATCAACTCACATGACCTCAAGATGAGTCGGTCCTTCAGGTGAAGCCCGTAGTTCCTCGGATGCATCCACCTTTGCATGCCTTTGCGCTTCATGCACCCCCGTGCTTTGGCCAATCATGTGCTTCAGTGGGGCTGGGTGAGGAGGGTGAGGGAGCAAATCATGAAACTGGGATTGGGAACTAGCAGATCCTGGCAGGTAATCAGATGTTGTCAGTTCCACCTGCCAGGTGGCAGGCATGCTCAGCAGGCATGCAGACATGCAATAGTAATAACGTGAGAATACTGCAATACTATATTGTAATAATATTACTGGAATGTGTTCTTCTTTGCAGCCCATGGAGTTGAGAAGCGGGTTTCGAAAAAAAATCATCCATCTTCAATTTGTGTCCGATCGTGCACCAAAACCAGATTCCATTGTGGAAACGCGAGCACGATTTTCAGAGACCACCTCATCAATACTGTATTTCTCTCATACCTGGTTGTTAGGCCACTTGGCAGATGGCTGCAGCCGCCTTCTTTGGGCCCCACGGGCTTTCTGCTCTTCGGATCCGTGATGAAAACCGAGGCCGGGGCCAAGAGTTAAGAATGGTTTGCAAGGTCGAAGATGGTGAACACAGATGAAAGACGCTTGTCGAACTGGCCAAGAACATGAACAAAAAGGAATCCCATCCAAGAAGTGTCATTCGGACAGGTCCAACATGGTCCAACTATGTCATGTACCAGCTGCTCGTGACTGTGACTGGATGGCGATGGTGAGGTCGAGGCGGGTACAATTCTGGGCTCCCAATGCTATGGCCGCGGTGAGCAAGATGCTCCTTCTGTAGTACTCAAATGGATTCCAGACTTCGGGGCTGTATGCACCAGGGTAATACCAATGACCTTCCTGTACAACTTAATCACACTGTAGCCCGCCAGCCGTGTGGGCTCGAGCCAAAAGCTCCAATTACGACACCGCGACGAGTTCTGCTGTTCTGCCTGTCATGGGCCATGCCCGTGTCTTGCAAGGACTGGGTTCCCTCAGGTTCTCCTTCTCCGTTTGGGTTAATTCCGAAGCCGGTGACTGTTACGTTGGGGAGGACGAGGTGAAGGCGAATAAATGCGAAGAACACTTAATTACAAGATCCTGTTACATAATATGGATGATATTATCTATAACATCTATATCAATATCTACACACACAGATAGATATATATATATATTTATATATATATACCAGGGGTCACAAAGGGGTGGTGTTTAGTCCCTAAGTGAGTGGATAATAGGCACCCCTATCCTCCAAGAGGCACCCCTTTGTGACTGCAGGTATATGCAAATATGTGCATGCATGTTTCTATGTTGATCCTTACCGATCAACGACCCAAACTCTGCTCCATCGCAGCGTCCGCGCTGGAGGATTTCTTGAACGTCACCTTCATGGTCTCCAGCACAGCGCTGATCCTGCAGGGTGCGTTGGCGCGCGCACCCGAGAGTGCTCCTGGGGCCGGCTGGATGCGGCTTCATCCCCTCTTTATGGGATTGGCCTTCTCGCTGATGATCAGTCTGGGTTGCTTGGGTTCTCATGCGTGCGCATGCGTATGTGTTTGCCACATGGTCCTTGGCAACTCGTGGGGATCATGGGACCACATCTTCGCGATCCATGTCGGACAGAACCACAGATGGTCCCGCAAGCTAAGGCTTTTGGATGTACAACTATGAGGACCTCCCTGGTGAGTGGATTGACACCCGCCAGTCGCGCCGGAAGACGCATGCCTTTTGCCAGGCCACTGGTGCAGTCTTGGCGGGCATTGGCGGCTTGGATGGCAAAAGTCTCAGTATGTCAGAGTCTCTTAGGCCTGAAAGATCAGTTTATGTAGATATATAGATGTAGACCCCCAGACCTGGGAAGACTTTCTTGGGAGTGCCTTTCACCACCCCCACCAAATCGGCGGATTTCTTGGTGAAAAGTTTTGGACAAGAACATGCAAGAACCACTGCAGTATCTGAACTTCATTTGACTTCATCGAACTTCTGAAAGGAATCGGAATCCACTGAAGAATCAAACAATTGTTTTTGTTTATACAAAATGGTCTGAGGTTTCTTCGTGAACTACCAGGCCCATAGCGAGACGAAGGAGGCGCTCTTCGAACTGTCCAGCTTCTCTGAGGGCGAAGTTTGGCTGCGCTTGGCGCACATCTTCGTGGGCACCTTGGCACGACCCACCTTGGGAGATTTGGAATGGACCGCAGATTTGGGACCATTGCTATTAGGTTGGAGGCCATCGCTACTAGTAACAGGGCATCGCTAGTATGCACGAACGCTACTAGTAGCTAGGGCATTACTACAAGTAGCAAGAAGCTAATAGGTTGGAGGACCCAAGATTTGGGGGTGGAGGTGGGGCTGCACAGCCGTGGCGGTTGGACCCGAACCCCTGCGGGGTTTGGTACGCTCGCACCAAAGCAAGACATTGCAAGATCCTAAGTGGCTAAAGACTCCTAAAGACTCTGCATGTGTTCGTAGTGCTGCAGCCCCGGTCACCTCCAATCTCGATGCCTCGGGGATACCGTGGAGGCGCCGGTCGGCGCGTTTGTTTTGGGTCCTGGTCCACGTCAGCCGAGCGGTCGGCGAAGTGCCCAATGAGGCTACGCTTGTTTACTGGGGCTGTTGATCCAAGTGGGCTTGGGCATCATGAAGTATCGGATCTTGGTGGATGACAATGACGACAATGACGGAGAATGGTCGGTGCACGAGCTCATGGGAAATGCCGTCTTCGGCCTGGCCAACCTCAACTTGTTGACGGGCTTGTGGATGTGGAAGGAGTACTCCATTGCTGCTGGGGCCAAGTAACATCCTTCCGCCTTCCTCCCACCCCAACAACCATGTGGATGGCCAACAGAGGGCTTTTGACAGACTAGAGCTAGTTTCCTTGACAACTGGGCCACCGGGGAAATTGTTCAACTTCGCTTTCGACCACATACTTGCAGGGGGTCATCTCTTGATGTTTCCTGCCAATTCCGCAGCCGCAGTCGGCGATTTTGGGTTCACCCTCAAGATCCTCAGGTTGGATGCAATTGAAGAAGGGGAAAAGGGCAGCATGGCTCTCGATCTTCCATCCAAGGAGCTTTTGTTGCTCTTTCCGTTGGACATTGAATTGGACTTTACCGTTCTTCGACCGCACCTCTTAGGCCGTTCGTGCCATCGTCTCCTTGGCGCTGGTCACGAGCTTGGTCTTTGGCCCCCGCTGGGACGGCACGCGGGGCTTCCTCAGCAACGAGCCGAAGGTCGTGCAAGCGCGGCATGCTGGAGGCCTGAGATGCCGAAGGTCGTGCACTGGGGGTGGGTGGGGGGATTGGACGCGGGGGGCGGATGATGTAAGAATGGACGTTTTACAGCTTACAGTCAAAGTCAAAGATCATCTTATTTGTAACATTTAGATGGACATCATGAAGATTTGGCAAGCTCAGGGATGATCAGCATTCAAACCACCGTAATTAGTGTGGGGACTGCGCCTGGGCAGGATCCACAAGGGTCTTTGGGCGCGCGTGAGCGGGGAGTATGGCCAGTTGGTGGAGGCTCAGGATGATCACCAAGCAGCTTGGGAATTGACAGATGACTGGAGAAGAAAGCGGCCACAGGCCAAGTTTTTGGGGCCGTCTTGGCCAAATCGGATGGCTATTGAACACCTGATCTCATCTTTCGACCAAGCCCGCCCAGCTGGAGAAGCTTCGGCAAGTGGAATTGGATCCATGTTAAAGTCTGAAGCAGGTCCTCCATCTGATGGTGGAACTGATCCCAGGTGAAGAATTGCTGGTGACATGGAGGCAACTGGACAGAGTTGAGAGCGACAAAATGCGGGCGATGTGAGTGCGGGAGGGGTGCCGGTTCATGACATGTGGTGGGCTTTCCAAGTTTGTGGATATTGGCAGACAGCTGGGTTGGATTCCTCCATGAACATGATGTGACTGTGCATCCGGCCTTCTACGCAGCTTGACAAGACATAAATACATAATCAACTCCAGCAGTTGTTGAATGTTGTTAAGCGCAAATATTCTCATTTTGACTTGTCGCATGGAAGGGCCAGGGATCTCACATTTCCACATGATCTGTAGTTTCTTGGTTGCAAGCCAGAGTTTCACCCTCTACTGTAACTACTTCTAGCATCCACATGCCATTTTACAACCCAACCCGCACACCTCTCTTGCTAGATGCCGTGACCCTCCGATTCCAATCGATGTGTGATGTCTTGGCGCCTAAAATGGGCGCCACGCAGCTGGCTGGGCCGCCTCGTCGGACATCACTATGCCTTTGTCTTGACGCGCTGGGGCTTTGGCAAGTCCTTCGCCACGGTGCTGGCGCGTGCAGGCGCGGCTTCGCCGCTTCGCGGGTCGAACAGCGCGGACGCGGTAGGTGGACCCGGTGCAATCACCTCCCGTTGACCAAGCGACCAGGTTCTCAGAAGCTGGCCTTGGGTGCGGTGGCCACTGGTGCGACCGGCCTGACGATCCACCACAACACCAAGGCCACGCAGCGCCACGCATGGCGTTGCTTTCGGGTCCATCACCACCATACAGAGAAAATGATGAACAAAGGCAAGTTGAGAATATGAGATCGTTTCCGAATCGTTTCCGGAGCGTTTTGGCGATCTCCAGGAACGGCACTTTGAGAGTGATGTGCTTTCCTCGGAAGAAGAGGTGGAATGGCCTTTAGGTTGCATTTCTGTGGTCGGGGACGGTGGGAGGATCCAACAATGTGGGAGATGTGATGGCCACCAGAGGTGGAGTATAGATCCCATCCAGTATTCAGATGCATATTCCACTGTTCTTCACCAGAATGATGCGTACAGAAGGAGCAGATGTGGCCTGCGTTGTCACGAGGACCCTCCAGTAATCCTTGTATAGGTTGCTTCTACCGGAAATTGGATAGACAGGTCAGGTGTAGACGTGGGGATGAGGGCCCTTCTGCTGGTCCCAGGTGCAGGTCATCCATGGGTCATCCGACTGAGATCCACTGAGCCCAGACCATCGCTGAGGTTGAATGCTGCGATCAAACCCATTTGGGATCATTTGGATAAAGGAGTCCGGAAAATCATCGAAGATGAGATTCAGCCCGCCTTGCAGCAGAGATTAGGCAGACTGGGCGCTTTGGAAGAAGTAAGTAGCAGGATTGCTGTGAACGACTTCGCGATGTGAACGACTTCGGGCCCTAACTCAGACGGCAAGTAGACATCCTTTCGGCCTCGGGTTCCAGTCTAACCTAAGAGCGATGGCATCCAACCTAAGAGCGATGTCCTCCAGCCTAAGCTTCTTGAATGTTTGGACTCTTGTTCTCAATGAGTTGGTGCCGGTCTCCCGTCGGACGCCAGTTCAGGGTGGCGCCAGGAGGCTCGTCGTCAGGCTCGTCGTACAGGGTCCTTGGTCAGACAACAGGTCCCGCATGATCGTGCATCCCAGGCAACTTCATACAGCTCCAGTTCACCCAACTCAGCCTGGGAAGCGCTTCACCGCGCTTCGGCCCGGTGCGGGTGCCGCTTGGTCGGCTTGGGTGGGAGGGCGGAAGAGGCGGGGCGGAATGTTTTGGCGTGCGCCATGGAGGGGACATGTCAGATAACTTGGCAGGATGTCTTTTTTTCCATCAAATTTGGAACATTTGCTGAGGTTTCAGGGTGGGAGAGGCTTTCATATATGCGAAGTTGTGGTCGATCAAGGTGCCAGTTCCCTGAGTGCGGGCACCTTTTTTTCGAGACAGATCGTATATCACTCGTTTATTACTCAGTGGAGTTGAAGAGGAGGAGCCCCCAATTCCGCAGGTCCATTGGTGGGATTCCGATGCATGATCCAGCATTGAAGTTGAGCTCACAACCGTGTTTTGGTGATTTTCTTGGGGGGGCTATGGGGTTTGATCCGGATGATTGGCCAAGTACGCCACCGTGGTGAATTGCGAGGACGAGATCGTCGCATGGGCTGGAGATTAATGCTGGCTTCAGCTTGGAGGGCAATGGCATGCTGGAATTCTCCGCTGGCACCTTGACTCAAATTGGAGGCCCACAGTTCTGCAGCTGCCATGGAACATGGCGTGGAAAAGATAAGGAACGACTGATCAACTATTAATATAATTGGTCTTGTTGCACAGATGTCACAACCATTTGTTTTTGCGCATCAAAGGTGTGGCATCCATCCAAGTTTGCGACATCACTGTGCAAGGCGTGTTCGTTTTGTGGATCGTGAGGAGGAAGGGCTCATTCATGTGCAGAAGTGTTGCACGCAGCCGGTGATAGCCCCTTTCAGCCTTCCTTCTAGTTTGACAATTCAGTTCTTCTACTTCTACTGTACCACACATTCACATAGTTAATAGATGTTAATAGGATTTTGGAGCCCCGTCCTCCTTTTTGGCCAACACGCGGCTACTTTTGCTTACCTTGACAGGATAGACTATTTCATACCACTTGGTGCCCTCTTCGCTGAACAGAGCTACAACAGTATGAGATGTATGAGTCGTATGAGTGGTGATTGATACTTTCACTGTTGTTACATCGTGATGGGTGGGCAAGGAACTCAAACATAGACCCATGCCATGAACTCTCTGAACATCTCTCCAAAACCTAAGGAAACCGTCCAAAGAACCCTCAAATAAGCTGCCTTAAGGACCAATGAACGTTTCAAAGGCCTACGTAAGGTTCACCTTTCTTCTATAAAACTGCCGTTTCCTCTCAGTCCCCACACCATCCCAAACAGACCTCCTCACCTCATCTCCGGCCTCGGAGCTGGGAGAACATTCACGTCTTCCAACTGGACTAGGCACCTTGCGACTGGGCTTGCAGCCCCTCTTGGAGTCCTTGAATCCCGTGGGCGGCGTCTCCGTGACCTGCCTGGACCGGCCAATCATCGATCTCACCATCAAGACAGGCGCTGACGGTCGGACCGATCGTGTCGGTGCGGGGTTGGGGACGGAGCCGGCAGATGGACCGATCTTCAGTGGGAATGTTTTTTATTGAAGAGTGAAGGCTGGGTGACAGCTACGTATATGTATGATCATTGAATGTCATAATGTCATAAATACCAAATGGTATTATATAATACTATAATTAGGTGTTCTGCGTGAGAATGGAGGTCTTGACCTTCGTTCCCAGTCCTCGCTTTGCACAATGAATGCACCCAGATGACGACTCCTCCCCATTGCAAAAGTTCATTCTCTCCAGAGCTCTTCAAACCTCGCCACATGTCCTCGAAAAACAAACGCAACTAATTGCGTCAAGCCGTTTTCATTCAACATCGATGGTACTTCTGAGCCCTAGGTCCGCCCACGCGTCGGCCTGAACGCGTCCGGCGCGGAACGCGCACGCCACGCGCCCCGTCCATGCCGGGGCTCGGGGCGCCCTGTGAGGCACGGAGCTGATCCCGAACTTGTACAACTTCGTGCGGGACACCGTGGATGACGTGATCGCTGGCACCAGGGCGGAGCGGTGAGAGACACATGGGGTGTGAAAGGGTGTGAAAGGGTGTGAATGTGAAGCTGAGATGTGCGGCTGAGATTCCATCATGACCTATACACGTCTTGTCTTGGCATGGTTCCCTTGATTGGCACTCTCTTGAGATTTGGATTAGTTTGTTGAGCTGGCTAGGTTTGATTGTGATTCCCAACATGGTCGCGGTGCCGATAGACGCTTCATGAAGGATTGGAACATTTTCTTGTGTTGTCAAATTTGTTTTCATGCCTTTATTTGTCAACACGGACTTAGACAACCACATGAAGCCTGTTGTCTCACTTCGACTGGCTAAGGATCCTGCAACAGACTCTTGCTTCATTCAGCATCCTTTGCCACTGGGGTTTTTAAGACTTTCACTTGAAGGGGTGACTGCAGCTGGACCTTTGCCCAGTTCTGTCTACGTGGAAGTGCTGATTGGCTGCAGCGTCTGGAAGAGTGCGATTGCCAAAGTGTCCAGCTACTCTCGACAAGTCGAGTGGGTGGAGGGAAATGTCACGGACTTGGAGGCGGGCGCTGGAGTGATCGACATGTTCATCACTCCACTGGTTGGTGTCGAAATGGAAGCCTCGCCTTGAGATCTCAAATGGAGCCAAGAATCACCAAAAGTTCCACCTAAACCAGAGCTTGGCCTTCAGGCATGTGCAGGTTCAAACTGATTGCCCTCTCTTTCCGAGTCCTCCCGGTCCTCGTTCGAACGCCTAGAGGTCTATTCCCAGGACCAGCTCCTGCGATTCCGCTGCTGGTCCTCCGGGAGCTTTGGGGTCACCCTCCTCTCCAGTGGCCAGGTGCACGTGCGAGACTTGACACCTGGACATGTGGAGGTTCCTTTGAGCGATACGCAGGAGTGACTGAGATGAAGTGGTGCAGTAGTGTTCACTGAATTCAGATTCAGATTACACAAAGGTCTAGATCGCTACAGGGTGGAGGCCATCGCAATTAGGTTATTAGTACTTAGAGTCAGAGTCTTTTTCTTACAAGTCTTTGGAGTCAATGTGTCTCTGATACTCGATGTGGGAGTGGTTGGTTCGGCCGCCGTCAAGCCGTCATGGCCGCCGAGGCACGGAGAGAATTCCTCTGTGGAGCTCTACCTCTCCTGGATGCCCGTCATGAACACGCCTCCGCGCTCCAGCGATGCCGATCTTTTAGCCTCCGTGCACGTGGATCGAGCCGAGCTGGCCCGAAGCACGAGCTTGGGCAGTTCCCGCCATCGCGTGCGCGTCTCGGTGGGGGAGAAGGTGAATACCTCACCGGTGGGGCAGGCACATCCCGAAGTACATCAAATCGCGGATGATAGGTACCTTGGAATTGGCAGAAGGGATGATGGGCTATGGTGGGCTAGATGTGGCTAGATTTTGCGGACTCGGGGGGCAGTCCGGCACGCTTTGGAGCATGTCTCCTTACTATTACAGTCTATGCCTATGGCCTGGAAGTTCATTCATTAATTAGAAGTGTTTTGTCACCTTTTGTTTGGGTAAATTAGTTTTGCTGCAAGCATGTTTGAAGATGTTTGAAGAAACTATTCCATTTGTCATTTGTCCCGATCTTTTTTCCTACCTCACTCCATCTTCTTAGGCTCTTGCAGCTCGCCAAGAAGCTGTGCGGCAAACTGGCATTGGTGGATTTGGCAGATGCCCTGAACATTCCGGTGGAACATGCGCGGGAGTTCGCCTTGCAGCAGGAGCGGCGGAAGCGGAGCAAGGTTCCTCGGAGGGGAAGTGGGAAGTGGGAGAGAGCGGCGCCTCACGAGTTCTCACGAGAGTGACCAGGATGGCCTAGGTCATCCCAATTTTAAGTGGTGGTATGACTTGTGTGACTTTGGTGCGCTTCCATGCTTTAGAATTTGTTTTTAGACATGAATCCACCATGAACATTTCAGGTCATTTCAGGTCAAATTCTCGGGCAAAACTGACGAGACACGTCTCGGTGGAGGGTGTCCAAGATGTTTCTTTCTGATCGTCTCACATCCCGGGAAGATTTGTGCGCGCACTACTAATGCGGTCAGAAATGGGATTTGCCCCTGTACCTCTTTTGATCTTGCATCCTGCGCCAGCTACGAGGGCCTACCCAAGGAATGTCCACTATACTAGCTGTTGCTAGCTGAGAGTTTTCGGGTTCCCTGCAACTCAGACTGCTGCGCACTCCAGCAGTGAGTGGAAAAGTGTGCCCTTGGACCCTTGGGTCCTTTGTTTTCTAGGCCAAATTGCCACAAGGCCTCAGAGCTCACCCTATTCACACAGCCTGACCAGCCCTATGAGAGCTGTGCTCCCAAGGATAAGGATATGCCATCATTTGAGAGCTGCTTGGCAGAGGAATGGCAGCAGTTGCCCATGGGAAGGGGAGATCTCTCATTGCTCTTTGGCGCATATCTTTGGTTGGCACCAGCTTAGCAGCAAGAACCATGCAAGAACCACATGGGAGTTGATCGAATCTAAGGGCGCGTGCGTTGGGCAGTTTGGTATGGCGACCTTTTGGTGGAAAGTTCTGCAAATGTGCCGTGACAGTTCCGGTTCGACACGCCCTGCTTGGTGGTTTTCTGGAACCTCAAGGCTCTCTCTCTCTCTCTATAGATATACTTATTTATCTAATTATGATAATTATGCACACGAGTGGCCAGGTAACTCAAATTTCCTAAAACATCCAGGAACCCAATGAATAGTGAATAGTGTGAGCTATCCTGCGTCCAAGGTGGTAGCTTACTTGTCGGTACTAGCGACTTCCTAGCTTCTACTAGCTACCTACCTAGCTGCTGCCTCACCCCTAGCTACCTCTACTAGCGGCCTACCCCCCCTTAAAAACCACAATCGCAGGTTGGGACCAGCAGTGGTGCCATCGTGCTCGAGCCGCGGCAGCTGCCCTCCACGCAGCGAAGGAGCCTCACTTCGATCATGTGTCTCGGGTTCAGACCGGATCCGATGCGTCAGCGAGAGGGAAAAGACAACCGGGTCCGTCCCAGTGGACGCTCCAAAAAGAATGAGTGAATACACTACAAAGTGGACACTCCAGGTGATTTTTTCCCTGGACATTTGATGAAACCTGAAACTTGTGTGCTTTCCGCCCTTTTTGACATGTAGGTTGATGCCGGCAGGAGGGCAGGAGGGCAGAGGGAACTTCATCCGTGGGTTCGTACAAGAAAGAAGAATGGACTGGATCTCAAAGAAACGCACTTCATTGAAGTGTTGATTCTTCCAAGGAGCCTGGTTTTTGATGGTTTTGGACCGGCCTTGAGCTTAGGTGTGCCACCTGCGCGCAAGCAAGGAGGACGTGGTTTTAGTGGAGATGATAGGAGACGACGCTGAGCTGAATGATGGGATCAGGTTCATTTATATCATCCACTCGAAGAATTTACGTTCTTTTACCTATGGTTATATAAATATTGTTGAACATGTTTGGATCCAATCTAATGATTTGAGAAACCCCAAGCTCCCCAAGTACGTAGATAATTATTTAGTATCATTGTATATATCCTTGTCATTGTTCTCAGATAGATTTTCAGGCTACGTTTCGGTGTTGGGAGATCGAAAGTGGATCCGTGGACTCTTGGGCCGGGGTGAAAGATCCCTGTGGTTTGCTTGTGCTTCTCAAGACCCAGCAGAGTCAACAAGGCCGCGGCTGGATATTTTGTGACATTGGTGATGATTGAAGTGCAGGTTGCTTCTTTTGTGGACGCTCGCACGGACGTTGCATGTAGGTGTCTTTGCTCAGCTTTATCCTTGCAGCAAGTGTTACCAGACCCCGTCCTGCAAGTCATAAGGATGGTGGCGTGAAGGCGCGCATGGAGCGAAGCTTGAAAGTCGTCAGCTCTCAAGGACAGGGTTTGGAGAGAACAACACTGGAGATGCCCTTCACCACACATCCTATGGTGATGCAGAAACAAAAAGCTACTAGTAACAAGTGCATCGCTTCTAGTAACAAGTGCCTTACTAGTAGTAACAAGAAGCTAGTAGAAACAATAAGCTACTAGATTTTCATCTTGAACATAATGCAGACTCAACCTGCAAGGGGTGAACGTTAGGAAGGTGCCCAAGTGAATGCCTTGAAACTCAGCCTGGCGACCTCTAAGACAAAGCCGGTTTTGGGTGTTGCTACGACCTTGGCAAGTTTGCCTAAGAAAGTGGCGCTCAGTCAGATTTTCCTCCAGTTTCTTGACCCATGCCCATGACTGAAGATTTATGGGATCCAACAATTTTACCCGGCCCTGTCGACTTCACTCTAAAGCCAGTCACAGTGCGGGCATCTGCCAGGAGGAGTCCTTCATGGCCCCTTCCATTTGAAGATGGAGGATGGCTCCAACTGCATCCTCCACGGCCGCATCAACGTGCGCCGCGTTGAAAAGCCCACCAGGCATGCTCAAAGCCTTCAGATGATCAGAAGACAAGAATCCCTAGGGTTTGATTCTGTTGGCCCTGTCGGTGCGTCAGCAGGCGGGACAAGCTCCACGAGCATCTCCTGAATGCAAGCTCTTGGCACGACACTGGCCCACCCGCATGAGGAGGTGCCGCACGAGCGGCGATTTAACTTAGCAGCTAAGCCATCAATTTCTGTGGCAGCGTGAGTTCAGGGTATTCCACCGGGGGTCCTTCAAACAAAAACTGAATCGATATGTCATGATATGTAGTGAGAGATGGCCTCAGGTAGTGGGCCCCAAGGCCATCGTACGACGCGTACAACATGTCCGAAAGTCGCGCGGCGGCGCAGCAGCGCACCACCACATCGATTCTGCGAAAAAGGTGTGTCTGACTGGAGGATGCGTGGCAGCCACCATAGGCCTTGTAACTTGTTTTAGACGTTCTTGACAGAAGAGCTTATAGAAATTGGAGAAGACTGGATGCCGGTGACTGGCACCGCATTGCTGCAGTGACGATTGGAACCCACAGTTGGCTTAGAGTGCTGAAGTTACGCCTTTGGGGTCGTAGGGGTTGGGAGTTCATCAGCTGCATGGGCAGAAACTCGGACCCTTGTTGGTCCACATGGCTCAGAGAATGGATGACAGAAAGCATGAGAAAACGCAAGATCTACGCTGAAACAAGAAGAGACGTGGAACTTATTCCTCTTTCTAACTGGGCATTCTGATTTGAACATTTTGAACTTCTCCCCGCAAGTGCAGTGTTGCGGAAGCCTTCAGGGCAGTCAGCTTCTGGGGAAAGGCATCGAGAGCATCCAGCATTGGACCTTGCCGCCCTGAAAGCGGTTTGGGTCTCGTATACCAGCAGATCATTCAGGGTCCTCCCGTAGAACAGGCCCTACAAAGGCCTCTGAGACGGATTGAACTCCATTTCACCGTACACCGGGAGGGTTTCATTGCTTCATGGCCGCCATGCGGTGAGCGGACGCTTTCAGCCGCTGGTTCGTCAAGGTCTGCTGCTGCTGCAGTTCGGGGCTCAGAGAGCGGATGCACAGAGAGAGGGTGGAAGGGCATCAAAAAGCCCCGACTTGGACATATGCAAGGCCTTGAATCACACTAATTACGGGAAGCTCGTTCAAAGAACACTTCAGGTTTAGCAGCTTAGCATGCGACACTCCGGAAAACACATATATTGAGTCAAACATTTTGCGGACAGTATGCCGACACATGCTGGCTTTTGTCTCAATGGATTGCTTCAAAGTGAGGACTTGGGATGGTTGGACTGTGGACTACCTACAGTAAAACTTACGAAGTGGTACTCAAGTTTGCTTAGGCCACTTCCATAGCAAGTCTTGGTTACGAAGAAAATTTTGTATATTGGGCTTACGTTCTGTGCTTTAGGAGGTATTCAAACTGACAGAACTGACGATCATTCAAACCTGAAGCACTTCCAAACATGTAGTGATTTGAGCTGACTGTTGGAGAGATAGGCAACACTTCTGTGAAGAGTTTGGGCTGAGTCAGGAGGCCAATTTCAGAAAGGCGCACACTTGCCAATCCAGATGCTCTCATTTTGTTGTCTACAGGTTCTATTTCTCCATGTATACAGAGGCCTGTTGCTCACCAAAAGGATCGGTTTCAGCTCCACTTTGCCAAGGCATGTTATCGAAGTCTCTCCAAGACCTCGGGGGGAACACGCTCGCCGCGGCCGTGGCTGGATGCTGTCAGCCGGTGGCGAGCTCAGCGGCCCTGTGTGACGAAGAACAAGCTTCTGACAATGAGACCAATCCCAAGTCAGGTGGTTTTTGGGAATCTGCATGCGGTTTTCCCAAGATTCCCAGCTCCACACACAAACTCACGAGGATTTCCCTCAAGCTGTCGTGATTCCCCAGTGGTGTGCTGCCGGGACCATTGCTTCAACATGCTTCAAATATCGGCACGCCTTTTGAGCCATGACCTTCGCACATCTCAAAGACCTTGTCATGAGGCCATCTTCAACCCGATGGATTGTCTCCGAATCCGCTGGCAGGTGGGAGCAGGCTTTTCTGGTGCAAGTCATGTGGTTGAACAGCAGAGCACAAGCCAGCACTTCGGATTTCCATATCCTATTTGTATTGATGAGACGTGATGAGATTCCTTATTCCAGTCCATCACTATGGCATTTGCTATATGCCATAAGATGCCATAAGTGATGCCATATATACAGTAGTCATTCATATACATAGGGCTGCAAGGACCGGTCTCGACGTTTCGTCCCCCGACCGAGGTGGCGGGCAGTCCCGACCAAAGGAGCTTCCGGCGCTTCGCGCTGCACGTGGTGCGCTCGGAGGGCCTTTGGAAGGGCCTGTGGCGCCCGGGGCTGCCCACCAACATGCAAGGAGCCCCAAAAGGACTCGGACCAGACGCGGAAATCGCGGCAGGAAACGAATTCGTCGTTGTTCAGGTCAACAGGCGTTGGACTTGGACGTGGCTTGGTGTTTGGATCTTTTTTCAAGGACAGTTCCATTTGTGAGGATATGCTCCATGTCCACAACCCTTCCTCAAACATTGAGGGGGTGCAGGATTCAGACATATTCAGACTCTGGCGCCGCCGTGGTTTTGTGAGGTGCGCCGTGGCAGTTTCACAGGGCTTGCGCATGGGACTTTACCCAACAGCTCGTGAGCCTTGGTAGGTGGCTGAAGATGGGTGTTCTCCTGGCAGACTGGGGATTTGGGAACCAAACATGGGAGAACTGTCAATGAGAGAAACATGGGAGAACATGCCACAAATCACCGTCAACAAAACATCTTTTTGGGGGGGTCCATGCGTTGGAGCGAAACTGGAGCCAATTGTGCAGATGAAACCTGACTGGAAACTGGATGTGGCAAGCCAGTGCACTCCACGAAGATTGGAATACTGTATATATATATATAAGTTCCCACTATACTATGTTTTACTGGGACTTGCCATCGTTCCCTTCATTCATTTCCTTTGCCCGGATGACTTGGTGTGCTTTCTGCCAGCAAGTCACCAGATGTCACGACTTCCGTGGACTTCGTGGACGAGGTTCACCGTCTCACGGTGGGTCTTGCCTGGCAGTCCGCTCTTTCCCCCACGGACGCCCAGGATGTGCTGCAGTTTGCCACAGGGCACCGGGAGAAGAGCAGCACTGCCATGCTGGGAGCTGGATTGACCGCTGGGTCCGGGGGTTGGGGGTACTGGGGGGGTCTCGGGCTGGCCAGGGTCGCTGTTCTCACTTGGTGGAGTGTCCATTCATAAGTGGACGTAGCACACATCCACCAACGAAGACCAAGGGGAATGTGAAACATAAGGTAACAATACACATTCTGAAGCACTCAATTAAGGCCAACTGGTCCTGACCCTTTGGAGATTCCTGCAGAAGGTGTTTTATCCAAGCAGGGGGGCAGGATTAATTACATCGATTGTGCGTAGCACGCAGGAACCACGACAATGACTTGATCATTAATTGATAAAGTCTTCCTTCCTGGATTACTTTGCTGTTTGAGTATGCTTGAGCATTCTTTTTGGGCATACCTTGTGTCGTTTCAGCAGCTCATATCAGTGGGACGAGTTCACACTGGACACTGGACTGTGGACTCCTCCAGGTCCTTGGCCTATTTCGTGGGTGCCCCCTTTTGGTTGGTGAAGACGCGGCAGCAAGCGCAGCGGCAGTTTGCAGCCGAGGGCCGGGCATTATTGGAGATCTTCCCCGCGGCTATGTCGCAGCTATGTTGAGGGGCGCATTGGATGGAAAGTTCAAGATGGAGTTGGTATTGAATAGGAGTCACACAGGAATTGGACTGAGCTTCAGGGCTTTCCACAATTCATTCATCCAGCAGATGCTGGCTATGTTGGTGTTTCTCCTTTCCAAACATGGACATGTTGCGATGCTGCTTGCGGTGCACGGGACCGGCGGCTCTTGCTCGAGGCCAAGTTCGGACCAGCCTACTGGCAAGGCTGCAGCCCACTGATTGCGAGGGGTGCATTGCTGACTGCTGGTCAGATGTTCGGCCTCTCGTTCGGATTGACCTAGATCGATCCAGGGTCCGGTAGGACAAGCGCCTCTCGTGATGGGGTGGTTGCTTCGTCGAAGCAAGCTGTGATGCGGTCTTGTGTTTTGCAAATGGAATTGCATGGAATGGTAATTACTGTTTTTACTATTCGTCAACAAGTTGCTAAGCCAGCCAACAATTGTGCTGCAAGAGCACCTGTGTTGCCCAAAAACGAGCAGAAACATCGAGTGCTATATTTGGACCCTGACATTGATTCATGTTCCTCAGGCTACGATGGCACCAAAACCACGGCACGGAGGCTTCTTGGCGGCCCTAGATGGCCATTTGATCCATAGCCCAACCCTTTTCGCTTTTCACAGTGGTTTGGGCCTCTGGGGATGCAATTCTTGGATATTCTTGGGGCATTTTTTTGTGGCAAAGACAGACTTGGCGCCGTCTTGGTTTGGAAGAGGTCCGAAGACCAGAAAGACTTGGCCGCCGTAGAAAACCACCGTGCCTGGTTGTTGCCGCCCGTGTGCTTTTTGTCGGGAAATGGTCGCCAGGTGTGCCTGGCAAGTCAGGTGGCTTAATAGCTTCTTGTTACTGCTAGTAAGGCATTTGTTACTACTAGCGAGGCACTTTTTATTACTAGCGAGGCACTTGTTACTACTAGCGAGGCACTTGTTGCTAGCAGCAAGAAGCTCTGAAAAATGAATCCTTTCAGGTGTGGCTTGCAAGATGACCCTATGCTTCATGTTGCAGCGGCCGCCTGTGCTGGCTTCAGTGCTGCCACACTGTCAGCACCTGCTGATGTCGTGATGACCAGGTCCGATGGGAGCTGTTGGGAGCTTGGATGACCTTGCGGCTGGTGGAAAGGGCTCGCAAATCGGATCGCGAGAAAGCTGAGGTTTGTTGGGCAAGCTCTTCAACTGAGTTTTCGGCCATTTGTTGCATTCTGCACGGTCGTTCCATGTCACTCCTGCAGTATTGAGAGACATCCAACAGCCCGACTCAGATGACCCGTCCTGATAGAAACGCCTTGCCAAACATGATTCCAGCAATCTCCCTGTACTTCTTCGGTCCTTTTTTTTGGAATCACCAAAGGTTGTTACACCCCAAATCCATCACTTTGAATCCCCTTGGAATCGCCCCGGTGGACCGCCGATGTAATGGTGATCGGTGTGGGATCAGGTACCAAAGCAGCAGCGGCCAGACGCTCCTGCGGTGTGCGGGGCACGTGCTCGAAGAAGGAGGCCGATGTGCTGTTTCCAGGGCCCAGGTGGCGGAAAAAGGCCCAATGCCCCTGAAGGATGGTGCTGGTTCTCTAGAGGTGTGCCGGTGTGCCCCCCCACAATGTGCCTTCTTCCCGATACTATATAGAATGTCCTCACAATGTTTTGTCATGGAAGGGTTGAGGGGGCTATGGGGGGGGGCTATTGCCCTTATGCTTTGGCAGCTGTTTGCTGGCTGAAGTGATCCATTGGTATTAAAGCTTTAATAGCTTTGGTTAAGCCTTTAATAGAATCTTCACCAGGCCTATTCAGGCTTTAATAGAAGCTTATGGATAAAGCCCTATTAGAGCCTTAACAGCTTTGGTTAGCCTTCTGATAGTATTGAATCACCCCCTCCGCCAGAAATACATTTACCAGGGCCGGATCATTGCGGTGACTTGTTTGTAGCTTTGTTTTGTCACATGCAATAGGCCAATGGGGCTCAAACTTGCATTTTTGGGGCAACGTTTCTTGCATCACCTTGGGGCTGGATTCTGGCTTGTCAAAGGCTTAGTCAGGGCTTATCCAAAAACCCTCCTGCCCTGCTGATTGCCCCTTAACCAGTGCTTATCCAGCGCTTATCCAGAGGGTCCAAAAACTGCTCTTTTGGGGGGCAAATGGTTTGTGTTGGTGGTTTTGAAGCTTTTGTGCCATGGCCACAATGTCACAAAACACGTGGACAAAAAAACAAAAGGGCGCTATTTGTGCAAAAATGCAACATGAGAAAATGGATAACCCATGCTCACTTATCAAGGCCCTAAGCATAAGGCCACGAGCCCCCCCCCCACAACCCCCCCTACCCTTCCGTGATTTTGAAATTGGGTGGGAGGTTGTGGCTCGTGTATTCCCAACTGGCAGAAGCCTTAGGGGTGAAGTTCAAGAGTGGGATTTCTTTAAGGGTGCTCTGAGATAGAAGCCAAGATCAAGCTAACATTTCTTCTTCGTCATTTCCAATGAGTGCTGCAAGGCCACTAGGCTATAGGCACCAAGAGTTGGCAACTTATTCACAAGTGCTTATCAAAAAGCAGGACAGACCCATATCATCATGTCGTTTATTGTTTCCACAAGTCCAACAAGTAGTTAATTGTTTGCAGGTGACTGTCTTTTCGCCTGGTCCTTCCTTGCGGTTTTTAAAGCACCATTTTGCTCCGCCCAAGAGGTTGCTCCTCTCCTCTTCAGGTCCTGCAGGCTTCTTCCGTGGTTGGACGGCGAATTTCTTCAGGTGCGACCCGGGTCACCTGAAGGACTGGTTGGATTGGACCGACGGTGGCATGGACGGCATGGACCCCGCCCAGTGACTCCACCCTATTTGTACCCATGTAGTGAAACAAAGGAATGCCCATACGCTTGTGGCTGGCATGACATGGGCTGGCATGACATGAAACTGTCGCCGGCAGGCTGGCTCCAACCTTCACTGTTGGAAGTCTCATCTACGAGCAGTGCCGGCTTTTGCTGGGGCTGGGCTACATGACATGAGGGACGCGAGTCTCGAAAAAAGGGTTACGACCGGACCGCGCGACGTGCCGAAGTGGTGTGAAGTGGATCCTCAGACTTCGACCCGATCTTTAGCCCATCCCAAAAGGTCTAAGAGGGAACAGGAAACACTTTTTGGGGACATTTTTATACATTTGCTTCATCAACGCTTAGCATACTTGTTTTGCTTGTTTTTGATTTGGTTATTGTTTTTTCATTGACGAACTCAGCAACCATCATTTCCTCCAACACCACTTGGGCGACGAGAATTCCCAGACACCTGCACCATCCTGAACCATTGTGGCAGGTGAGCTGCCATCACGATGGAGTCCGAACTTTTACGTCTGACTTGGTGGCGTCCAATGATGGACTTCAAAGCCAGAGAGAGAGAGAAGTGATTCATGCTAAAGATCCTCAAGTGGAGTTTTTATAACCGTTGCCATCATCTCAGGTCTTGGTTTGTTTTGCAACTGCCTTGAAACGGGGGATCTACATCGCCAGCTGCGAGAATGGCCAAGTTCGGCAATGCAACGCACGGATTTGGAACATAGCAGCCCTGACAGGGTGACCACAGCAACCGGTCGCCAAGGCAAATGAGTATACTGATGACCGCCTGCTGGAAAAGAATTTTGCTGCCAGAAGCTTTGGGAGTGAGCAGCTTTGTTCGAGTGCATGCTGAGAGCCAACTCCAGCGAGACTCTTTGATATGGTCCTTAATCCCAGTGGTAGGTGCCGTTCAGAGTTTTTGGGAATAGTGAGCCGTTGCTAGGTTGGAGGCCATCGCTAGTAGGTTGGAGGCCATTGCTCTTAGGTTAGAGATAGAGCAAAGAAGCAAGCCATGGAACGTGGGAACGTGCGCGCGCGGGCTGCCAACGAGGTCACGGAAGAAGGAGTGAAGCTGGGGGCCCATAGAAATCTGAAGTGCTTTGCAGGAGACTTCAAGATAATTAGTTTTGCTTACTAGTAGTAACAAGTGCCACGCTAGTAGTAACAAGTGCCTTACTAGTAGTAACAATGTGTGCTATTAGAATTAATTGTGAATGTGAGACCAGGCCCGCGCATTGCACCTGGTGGTGCCGAATTGGTTCCTGTCAGATGAACAGTTCCCCGCCGCATCATCAGCGTCCGAGGCCCCGCCGCCGCACGCCCTCACGCTTGGCCGCCTCGAGGGGGCGCAAAACTGCCGAGTCGCAGGTGGCGCGCAGCTCGCGAGGGCGAGGGACGATTGCCGGTGAATCGAAACGGTGTAGAAATTGACAGGGGACCAGCAAGCTGATGAAGCCGTAGCACTTTATATTATATAGTGTATGGACCTGTATGGATGTGTATGGAATTTGATGCTGTGTGTTGATCCTCAATCTGCCTATTTGTTCCCATGATTCTTAGGCTTTCATCGGGTGTTGCAAGGATTGAGGATGATTCATGTGCTGATTTTTGTGGTATGTCCTCGTTCTCGTTGGTGCTCTCGGGGTGCTCTTCTTGGCCAAGGCCCCGCCGTGGCATCGCCCGGTCGGGGACCTCGGTCGACCGGCTTCGGGTCGAGCGGAAAGGTATGGTTAGACCATGCTGGACATAGTGGTTGGAACTGAGCACTTTCTGTCACTTGGTCAAATCTGTTTGGACATAGTGGTTCAATCGTGACATGGGGCTTCAATTCCACCAACCCATGCTTGTTGACACAGTTTTTGCAGTTGAAATTGCTTGGATATGGAATATCGTCAGGTTCATCGCTTGCTCTCCCTGTTCGGCTGCCGCCAAGGCTCGGGGCGTAGGCTGCCAGTCGAATGTCAAATGTGATGTCGACGTGATGCTCATGGCAACTTCAACTGAGGAGAGGACACGGACTGTGACTATTTAAAAAGAACAACTTAAAAGAGACTATAATTGACAATAAGAACAACAAAGAACTAGGTCCAGGTACTAAGTTTGGTTTTCCTTCGCCGACCTCTGAAGGCTTTTGAGTTGACAGGCCACCTTTGAGGCGAGCCGGGGGGTCGTGACATGTCGTGAACCTACTAGCAATGACCCCCAACAGCGCCTCCAACCTCATAGCGTTCTTGCTTCTAGTAGCGATGGCCTCCAACCGAATAGCAATGCTTTCCAAGGTAGGTCTTTTGTTCTTCGGGTTGCTGGTTTTTCGCCACATGAGGCTTGTGTCGGCCGGCCGGGCCAACGTGCCATTTACATGTCATTCCAGAATTCCTTGCCACGAAGCTTGCGCAACTGCTGGATCCTTTTTTGGAAGGTGCAGACTTGGCACCACATGGCATCACTTGTTGGCCAGGTGAAGAGCAAATCTGAGACTTCTCCCATGCGGCCTAGCAACATTTGCCCCACAAGGGGCTGAGTGGAATTTTTAGAGAAGGATGTGGAAGTAAGTATATAAGTGGAAACTCTTCCAGTACCGCCTTTCGAACCTAGTGGCAGACAATGAGAGTAACAGCAAGAAACACCCAACAAAAGGCTATTTAAGGCTGTGCATTTTTGGAGAAGAGCTCCGACTGGACGTGGCAAAAAGCTCACGCTGATGAATGGCATGTGCGCAACTTGCATGACTCTCGGGACATTCATGGGCTTTGTGGTTTGGGTTTGGGCTTTGTTATTCCTCCTTTGTCAGCCCATTCTTGACTTCAAGCAAGCCATAGATTCCATAGATACCGTATTCGGCTCATGAATTCTCCACTCCCCCACTTGGCAGACTCAGTGGCACCTTCATGCTATCAGCAGATCCACATAGATCCACAAACATTTTTGTCCTTCGCAGTCCGTTGAGCATGCAAGCAGGGGAGCGTCTCTGTGTTGAATGGAGGATGGAGGGGAGAGCCCCTCACAGCCAGACTGTGCCCACGAAGGACCGAGCTCTCCGCTCCAAACACACCGGAGCGAATTGGCGCATGTATTGTGCAGCCGGCGCCGTGACACCCTGTGGTGTCCAGGAACTGCATCCACACTGCAAGATGCCCAGGTTAGAACACCTACAGGCCTCTGCAGACCATTTACAGACCTCCCAATAATTGGACCAGTTCTGTGTAGCGAGTGGCCTGGGCCAAGAAGGGCCGTGGTTGTTTGACTCGTCTCAACTTGACACCCCACCATAGCTCTGCATTCATAGGCCATGGCCATGCGCCCCCCCCAAAAAAAAACAGCAGAGTGATTACAATTACAGGTAGCTCCGCAGAGCTCTACATAGGTCTGCAGGTTTCTGGCCGCCAGGTGTCTTCTGAACGTGTGTTTTTTCCTTCCGATTTCGGCCACCCAACGAGATGTGGAGGCGGAGCTTCGGACCAGGGATCATGAAGGAGCGACATGGATGTCTTTTATCTACCATGGATCGTGACTCGGAAATTCAAAACCATATTAACCTTCGCAAAGGTTTCAGATTGACGGTGCTGATCGAGATCGAGAGAAAATAA